GGCAGAGAGTTTTGCACCTGGATTTGGCGGTCTGGTGGAAACTTTTCTACTTGGAGCTAATATGAGAAGCTTTGCGATTTCGAGCGTCAACCCAGAATAAGTTCGCTAAATGCTTGCGCTTTTCAGCTTGGGCGCATTCAGCTTTAAACCATGGGCGAGCTTTGCTACCGGCAGGGGCGTCAGAGAAGGGGATAAAATACTACACAACTTGACGCAACACATCGGTTATCGCATCTGCGCAGCTCGACAGATCTGCAAAAGAGAAACAGACCTCCCGCCAAGGATAAGATGCAAAAAAGTGTCCCATCTCAGCCCAATTATCTGACTTATACCGCCATATTCGACGCACACCTTGGGACTCGTAATCAGGGGGAGAATATGACGATATAGATTTCACCAGACAGTAGTCAGATGTAACCAAAGGGAAGGTAACCTATACTTCATACCTGTCTGGTTCAGTAGTAAGCAGAAGGTCCAAGCAATTGACTGTATGACCATCTACATCGGTTACCCTAGTCGCTGTCCTAGTCCTTTACCAGTTGAGAAAGACCTAGCGTCAAGGCAAAATTCCACGCTTCTCTACCAGCATGGTCGGTCTTCTAGCATGAAAATAGCCAGTCTTGGTGACAGGGGTTAAAGTCCCCCAGAAAAACCAGTTGTGCAGAAGGATACCGATTTAGGGCCACATCAACTGCCTCACTAAGGTGATCAAATAATCGTGTTGTCTCCTGGTCACTGCTGTGCGAACGATAGACATAAGAATAAAGGATTTTATATATACCTGTATCTCCTATCACCGATTGTCGAAAAAATGGGGTCTTCAAGGTAACAGAGACGCTGCAAGCAGATGTAATTGCGGACATACACACGGACTCCGGCACGATGGAATTTGTGCTCCAGGGAGAATCCAGGATAGTCAAGGTACGCCGCATTCAATGAACATCCAGATTGAGTGTCAGTCAAGAAAAGTAGATGCGGCTTTTCAGTCTCAAGATCAGGACTGCGCTGAGATAAGAGCAATCCACGAATATAAGTGAGATGTACTTTTATTAAGAGGATGTGCAACCGCTGTTTAGCCATACTTTTATTTTTACGATGCATGAATAAGGGGATGGAGAAAAGCAATTGAACGAGGCTTTGCATTAGCAACCAAACGAAACTATTAGAGCTACAGCACCCATGAGAACTTGATCGGGAGACTGCGGGGACGCCCAAATCCCCCAGAGATCGCCACCGGGTCCTCTTGCCTGGTTGCTAACCGGCACGATTAAGCCACCCACCCATTGAGCCATCGCTAGTTGGCAGGGCAGTCTTTCATGAGTAGCTAATTCACTAATTGGGCCTCCAACTACCTGCGGTCAGCTATCGGAACACCATGCTTCAGATCCCGCTACTCTACACGACCGAGCACGCGACACAGCAAAAACTGATGCTTAGCACCCGGTCCTCACGCACAAAGCTACTGTTCAGACCCATTCTCGATATGGCTTTACCAAGCATCATGTCGGAACACAACAATAACTTTGCATTGGTGGGTGGTAACCGAAAAAGCCAGCGGCAGAAACCTACCACCGGAATTGATGTTGCTTGTTTAGCACTACCCGGGGGACACCTGTAGGGAGTCAAATTTCAAATAAAAGAGAGGGCTAAAATGGATTGCCTCAAATTCTGTAATTATACTGGCTCTCTATACCTTTCTGAGCAGTACACAGCACAACATGCACTGTTTAGTAGTGACAGAAAGATATAGGAGAGTGAAAATAAATCATAGTCAGAAAAGTAGTCCTACCACCTAGTAAAACGACGTAAGGAGTAAAAGAAATAGACAAAAATAGATAATAAAGAATAAGTAAAAGAACAAAAAACAATGTTTATAGTCAATAAAGCTGGGACAAGCCATTCTATGTACTGACTATACCTATATTATTAGCTAACTATATTTATGTAGTACTTTAAAAAGTCATGGTAGCTCGGGGTGCTCGTTCTAGGAGCCGGTTTCACCCTACCCCGATTCCATTCCGGTAACAGTGAAACTATTAATTAAATTTAAAACGCTAATTTACCACGTGCATGTGATGAAGGAAAGAATCGCGAGGAATCTTGTGACATATGAAGTTCGCCAACTCGTTGTGGACTCTTCTTTGACCTGAATTTCTCTCAGAAGTAAGAAGAGGGCTAAGCCAAAGATAGAGACTTATTAAACAGGCTGCAACCTGAATTATTTTGCATGTATTTTACTATCTTAAGTGAGTGCTTAAGTAATATCCCATCAGATGGTGAGTTGTGAATGATGGTGGTGGATGGAGGGGAATTGTATCACCTTGCGTTAACCAACAAGTTTGCTCAGCAAGACTTTATTAATTTACCGTTATCGTTACAGTCTACCAAAAGTCCACTGCTGAACAAAGGCCTTATAGACTACCTTATAGGGAAGAAATTAGCCATAGTTGCTACGTAATGATTTCTTATATTTACGTGAATACTACATATTGAATTAAAGTATTTTTATGGATTTTATTGCGTTCAAATTACTTATTTTTAATTCCCACCATTTCTCTTAGCTCTAAAATTTAATTCACAATGGAGTTAGTGGCAAATAACTGTTTGACTTTCTTAGATGTTTAAGTCATCTGAAATCCTGATAACACTACTAGTTGTAACCAAACACGGTGTACTGTATTTGATTACAACGAATAGTCTTTTTCCTAAACAAAGTGTATTGTGTTTAGGAAAAAGACCCATACCAACTGATATTTAAATGGTGAATCTCAACATCATCCATCATAGTTAGCTACCGTTGGAAAATCTTTGTTTCAGAAAGCACAAGAGAACTGTGACAGAAAACATCTGGTTTCCGAGCTTATAAGGGCATATAAGGAAGTGTTTTTAGCAGCCTTGTGTTAATTTCTTTTACTAAATACACTTTGCCTCACTCCCGGCCACAGAGTACTTTTTGCTCCTGCCTCAGCGGCCGTTGTGAGTGGTCGTTTGTTGACAGCGGTTCGTGCTGAAAAATATCGATCGCTTTAGAAATACAAAATATTACAAAAACCAAATTTGATACATTGACCAAGGAAGATATTATTATTATTTTTATATGTATTAAAAATTATATATTATGTGTTAAAAATTGCGAACGATGATTATCACGAATTTTATGTCGCCGCAAATTAAATATTCGAAAACAAGTTAAAGTTAGATAACAGTCTGATCATTTAAAGTAAGAAGGTTTATTGAGTAGAAATAACTCAATCCCGAAAATTTAAATTACGAATCAACAAACAGACATATGGACTTTCAGCAGAAAATAAAAATACTACAATTTCAGAAGTGCAATTGTGTTCGATCAGTAATTTTCTTTTACGATGTCAAATTTTCGTTAATATTTATTGTGATACATAAGTTTTATTATTTGGTTTTATTCAATTCTAAAGAAACAAACGTTAAAGTACAACATATTTAATTAATACTTGTTTTCTGCTAAAAATTAATACTTAATAAAAATAAATGTGTAAAAATTAATATGTAGTGTGAAACTTCCTTAAATAACATAAATCTAATATTTACCAATATTCTCAAGATTAGGTGTCTGTTTGCTTAGACGCTTTAAAATACTATCGCCAACTGTCTGTTGGCTCAAGTTGCCGTCAAAATCTTCCAAGGGCTGCGCAATGTGATGCATCAACATATTGTAAAGGATTATTATCACTTGACACTGAGATAAATGAAAACATGGCTTAAAAGACAAGTATCCAAGTCAAAAATCTTTAAAAATAAATAAAAATTCGACTTTGATTAGTAAAATTGTTCGTAGAAAAAATGGAAAATTTTAGATGTTGAAACGTATTGTTACATTTGCGGCATCAGTCCTCGACTTCGTCACGACAGTGGACCTAGTTAAACCGTTGTCGGATCTTCAGTAGAGTTCGTTTAACTCCCAGGTGGCCTCCTGAACAACCACTATGGTACAGCTATAGAACATCCGGTACTTTAGCCTTAGGGACAACCATTTGCAAATGACAGCTGTCTCCCCGACCATTTTCCCATTTACGACACAGGACTCCATCCTGAATCAGCAAGCTGTCCCATTAGGCCCAATAGCTTTTCGTGGTCGAACTCATTGCTGAGACGTCGCTCCACTTGGGCTTAGGAGCACTGGCCTTCATACATTCCAGAATCGGCTTAATGTCCGATTCTTCCTGCTGTACCTTTTTTAGGCTGTCCTTCCACTCATTGCTGAGCTGGTCTGTCCTAAGTATCCTCACAGATACCACTTCCTTACCCTCTTGCCTAGCACAATGCTTGCAATCTTTAGGGCAAAGTCTTCTTGACAATGCATCTGCACTGCAATGAGATTTCCCGCTGCGATTTTCGATCACAAAGTCGTATTCCTGCAGTAGTTCAATCAATCTCGCAACTTGTCCTTCCAGATTTTTGAACTGCAATAGCCATTTAAGTGCAGCATGGTCAGTTCGTAAGTGGAATTTCCGCCTCCGAAGATATTTGCTTAAATGCTGCAGTGACTTTACTACAGCAAGCAATTCCCTTCTTGTGACATAATAGTTCCTTTCCGGCTTTGACAACGACTTGCTGAAGTACGCTATCCCAATCCCTTGATCACCATTCCGTTGAGACAATACACCGCCAAGTCCTATATCACTTACGTCTGTGTCAACTATAAATTCCTTGCCCGCATCAGTGTACTCCAAAATAGGTGTTTTGCACAGACGGTTCTTGAGCTCCTGGAATGCAATATCGCAACTTTCATCCCAGCAGAAATGTCGCTTCTCCTCGGTTAGCATGTGCCTAGGTTTGGCTATATCTGCAAAGTTCTTCACAAATCGCCGATAATAAGAGCACAAACCTAAAAATGCTCTAACCTGTGTCTTGTCTTTTGGAGCCGGCCAATCATTGATAGCGGCAATTTTCTCTGAATCCGTGCGGATACCTTCTTCCGACACTACATACCCCAAAAAGTTAACTAGCCGTTTGAATAGCGATCACTTCTTCGGACTGAACTTGAGATTGGCACTCTGGATCTTCATGAGCACGCGTTCCACGTTTTGAAGGTGTTCCTCAAACGTACGGCCTACGATGATGATGTCATCCAAGTAGATCAGACAGGCATCTCCATTTAGCCCGGTAAGTACAAGCTCCATCAACCTTTCAAACGTTGCTAGAGCATTGCACAATCCAAATGGCATGAATTTAAATTGCCACATATCCTTTTCTTTGGAGAATGCAGTTTTTTCCTTGTCCTTAGGGTCAATTTCAACTTGCCAGTAGCTACTTTTCAGGTCCAGCGTACTAATCCACTTTACGCCTCTAAGTATGTCCAGCGTATCATCAATTCTTGGCAAGGGATAGCTGTCCTTCTTCGTAACGTCGTTCAAGCGGCGGTAGTCAACACAAAACCGCATGCTGCCATCCTTCTTCTTTACCAGCACCACAGGTGAACACCATGGAATAGATGAAGGTTCAATAACACCATCCTTCACCATTCCCTCAATCATGGTTTCCACTTCCTTTTCACGTGCTACAGGCAATCTTCTTGGCCGCTGACGAATAGGCAATTCTTCTCCTGTGTTTATTTTATGTTGAACTAAGCCAGTCTTTGCTATGTCAGCTTCGTTTGACGAAAAAACATTGGCGTACTTGAGTAACAATTTCTTCGCCTTGACCATTTCATTCGGAGAGAGAACGCTGCGACAGTCTTCTAAAAGTGTGGTCACTCTCGTTTGTCCATCCTTGCTGAGGGTCTTAGTCGGTAGATATTGGCACCGACGCAACCAATACACTTCCTCACTAGTACCAACCATTGTGCCTTTTTCTATAATCTGTTCCTGATCACAAAGGTTCAGCACACGTACTCCTGAGATGTCGGCGGTGCTGACCAAGGTTCGAGTCACTTTACATGGAAGGTCATTGTCTACCCTTTCCACGAGTACACAACGAAGAATTTTCTTAGGATTCCGAAGAAGTCTAACTGGCACAATCTTTTCCGATCTCGGCGGAAGAACAATCTTCTCAAGGCTGTACACATTCCCTGGTAACGCCCCCTCCACGAAAAGTTCCTCTTGTCCACATTTCAAAACACCTTGCTTCATCTTGATCTCACAACAATTCTTCCTCATAAAGTCTAGGCCCAGGATGCAGTCTTCCATTATATCAGCCACGATGACATTATGCAGGTAAATCATGTTGCCTAGCTTCAACTCCAACTCCTTCTCTCCGCGGCTCTTAACATCAGCCAGCACCCGACCCGCAGCCGTAGCACCTAGGGCTGTAGCCGTTATTTCGGTCCCGAACTGTAGCTGCTGCAACCTCCCTGACGCGATGGGAACGATGATCCTGATGATCACAGCTTTCATTTCCAGTGCATGGGTCAAGGCGTCCTTAAGCGTCTCGTGGTGCCCCGGCCTCACAGCAGCTCTGACTTCAAGGTCGCGTATGCCGTCGATAAATATCTGCACCAGGTTCCCTAAAATGAGCGTAGGTACATGCTGGTATGCTTTTCGAACCAGCTTCTCCACATTAAGGGCCCACTGCTGCAGTTTTTCGTTACTGAGTTGCACGCGATCTTTGAGCTGCGCACGAAAGACGTGTTCCAGGTGAGCGTTGCCATATCTCGCCTTCAATGCCTCAAGGAGCTGCTCTTAAGTCACTTCCTTACTGAGAGCTTCCAGAACAGTTAAGGCCTGGTCGCACTCGGCAGTCATGGCCTGACTTTTATTCCAGCCATTCGCCTTGATGACAGCCTGGAATTGGATTTTGTAGGCTGACCAGGAAGAAGTCCCGTCGAACGGTGCCACTTTGAATCCACGTAGCGTAGGTGTTGTAGCTACCACGGGAACTGTAACTCCATCCCCAATTTTGAGGTTGTCCAGCTTTTTCTTCACGTCAACCATCACGTTGTCAACCCGATTGTTCACTTGGTCGATTCGGGTTTCAGCTTCCGACAGGCGGTTGTCTGTTGAGCAACCCTATCCTTCACCTCCTTTATCTCATTTCCGAAGGTAGCGTGAAGGTCCTTTCTGAGGAGCATCTGCTTTTCCATACCGCGCTGCAGCTGCTCTTCCAACCGACTGGTCTGTTCTTCCTGTCGACAGGTCTGTTCCTCCTGTCAGCGGGCCTGATCCTGCAGCATCATCATCAGAGCACCTAAGTCAGGTTTTAACAGTGGTAGAGCCACGCGGCAGCTTTTGCTGTCGCACGGATGGGCCGGCTCGAACCGGGGTGGTACCACGACCTCACAGAAAACCAGCGTGAAGTAGAGGTTTACCTCTGCGTTTCGCTTGGTGAGTGCAGGTGGCCGGAGGCCCTTTTTACTGGAAATGAGGTATTCCATCTTAGTCCTCACGGGTGACAACGCATCTGCATTTTGATTCGCAAACGAGGATAGATGTAGATGTCTATGGGCCGCAGCAACCACATCAGGTGGACTGTGTGCTCGTTTGTCACCCTTATCCTATAAAAAAAAAAAAAAAAAAAAAGGTGCTGCAGATGCAGGAGCTGCTGACGGGCCGGCCTCCGTGGCCAGCAGCTGGACCTCCGACGTTTGCGGCGATGCATTACCAAATCGTCTCTGGTCCGTTCCGTTTGCCAATTGAATTACCAAAATTGACACTTACACAGCACTAATTCAATCTAAACCACACTAATAATAAAACACAATTGTACTACTGATCACTTAAGTTCGCAGTTATTTCGCTTCGAAATATTCTCTTGTATCGCCAATTCAACACTGCCTCGGTCGTGGTCTATACTGGCCTTATATAGGGCCTTAGATATTTTCCGGAACCTTCTACTGTAGCGACATCTAGAATGTTCGAGTACATATCGGTCCCGAAATTTCTAGAAGGATCTTGACTCTCCTAGTTCTGCTACTTGACCCTAGAGGGCACTAGTGAGAACTAGTGTTGCCATATACAAGACATTAATAGTGGCGCGCAACATATTAAATAATTAAAAGACCGAAGTAATTTTTAGTGTTATATGAAATTAATTAACAAACGAAATGATAAATGACTGTATAAAGTGTTGACGTTTAGTTATAAATTAAAAATATGAAGTTAAATATTTGTACAGGTTATTGACACCTGATCGGAGAATATCATAGAGATATAAAAATAATTATGGGGCCGGCATATTCTACTATAGAAATAATAGTTATACAAATATCTATGATATCGACACACACTTGTAAAAACAATTTGTCTCTTTTTAACAAAGCAGTAGCTAGTTAGGTAGTTGCAATAGAAAAGAGAGACAACTACAGTTTATCAAGTGCTTATTTTGGTAACACTTTCGTGTGACGTCATTAGCTCATCCATGTGTGACAGCGTCGCCATGTTAAGCGCCAAGTTTTGTGGTAGATCTACTGTCAAAATGTCGAAAAGCAGTGGCAGTGTCGTATAGAAATTATTTTAATAAATTAGTTTTGTTCAGAAATGAATAAATAGGAATAATAATTGTTGTGGCAGGGTCGGGAAGGGACGCCCTAGATGAAGGTTTATCGACCAAATCGGCGACACACTAAAAATGGGCCAGATTCGGAGTACCCTTAACCGACGAGCGTGTATGCGTAGATATATAGATGTAAAGAAGGCGAGAGAGGTGTGTCAGGATCGCGCCAAACGGAAGTCCGTCGTCTCTGCCTACCTCTCTGGTTGACAGGTGTGAGTGTTTGTGTTGTGTGTAATAATTGTTTATAAATCTTGCATATCATATTTCATCCACCGTTTCATGATCATGCCAGATTTTCGAATTTTAAATGAACAAATTTAATGTACCTGCGAAAAATAATTATATTTTTCATTTAATACATATTTGAATGAATAAATAAAATATGATATCCTGGAAGACCGAACATACTTGTATAACTTGCCATTTGTCGGTTTTGATGACGTGGCGCACTGGTTGTACGAATATCTATTGCTTCATGTGATTGAAAAATTCGTTTGCTCGACAACAAAAACAACGCAATGGATATTGTTAAACTGTGAAATTGGTATGATTTGCCATTTTAGGTGTGTTACGCAATTAGACTACGGGTTTAATTTCTATCTACGCAAAAGCCGTAAAACTGTCACTCATTATTTATTCCTCAGATAAGTTATTTGACAATTGAAAATTCAGCCCCGTACCTATATGAATACCTACGGAATAAAGTAAATTAAGCAATAAATTCAATTATATGAAATGAGAACAAATTCATATTAGTAAAAATATCGACATTAGCTGCCCATATTGCTGAGTTAAAACCCTAGAAAAGGTGGCCATTTTATACGTGAGATTTTGTAGGTAGTCACGTTAATTCTGTAGGTATGGCTAGTCCATGTACTTCTAAGCCAGTGGAAAATATACACGTGGAATTTATGTTGGACGTGTACTTGGCGCGAGACACAAAAGTGTCTCCGGATTAATCTATAGTGAATATTGTATCTGGAATAATATTGAACGAATGTGGTTAAAGGCAATAATTTTAAAGCTTCAACCACAAATCGAATGTTCGTAACAAATGAACTCCACCCAATACCTATTCATTCTTCGACAGCTTCATTTGTATTACGGTAATTTAAAACTTAACGCTTAATTTATTCTTGAGTGGGGTCAACTGTTATGGGGGTGGCGGCAATTTTTTACCAGTAATCGTTAGTAGATTTTAAGCAATGGGTATTACGTAGTACCTAAATTTTTGGTAATGTGCATTTATTAAAATCAAATATATGTACATATTAGTGGTGTCATTTAACTGTAACATAGTTTAAACCGATTATAAATAAAAGTTCTTGAATGGTTGCGTCAGACCGATAAGCGGATTGTAAGATGGCATATGGGGTAATGACTTGGTAACACGTATGATAAGTCGATTGACACGAGTGACTCAGGATCGTGTTCTTTGTTAGTCTTGGAGAGACATCTAAGATTAATTTTAGACTTGTCATGGGATATACACATGTTGTTCACACATATCATAGTTATGTAAATGTAATAAAGCCGATCACACTTTCAACTTTTTTCGATTCAACTTTTTTTTTCTGTGGTAACACCGGTGACAAGTTGTATAATAATTGCTCCCAACTATTTTCAAAAATTAAATATTGTAAATTAATAATATCCACCTCAATTTTGTGTTACAGTTGTTAAATACGACTTATTTGTGTTTTTGATATAAGTAAAAATCAGAAGTACCTATTTTAATTACATACACTGTGTTTAGTGTTCCAACCAAAAGTAACAGCTGTAACGAACATCGTTTAAACTTATTGTAAGTGTAATTCTTGTTATCCCTTTAACATTTTAAGATTTTCATATTAAGTAAGTGTTGTTGTGGATTTCATTTTGAATTATTTACATGATAATTTAATTTGAGATCTGTAAATAAGCCCATATATCTCGACATTTGCTTACTCTGCTTCTTTGTTTTTCTTTCTGTGTTTTCTTTTGCTATTTACATTTAATAGTAAAATGAATACACGCAAAGCCAAAACACGCCAATTGGAGAACCAAC